CTTATAGTTACGTAAAGTTTAATATCCAGTAGAACATATAAAAATGTAATATTCGTAAACATATTAATGTAAGAACAACATTATTTGCATATAAAATCGTATAATAAAATAAAATAAAATCAAATGTTAATAATTTTTATTTACTCATAAAATCAACATTAATTGAAAATAAACATTAATCAACATAATCCACACTCACACACACGCGCACGCACACTCGCACTCGCACTCACAGTAACATTTATGCACGCACACATATGCATACTAGTTCACAGAACAATTAATTCCATCTAAGAAGAGAAATGATTATTTGATCGAGAATATCTTTGCACTTCTCATTAAGAAGAAATTTAATAGCTAAAAGAAAAGCAATAAGTTGATATGAAAAATATTATTTTGCAGCTGAGCTTTCAAATTTCATTAGTAAAAATATTGAAAAAATTATTATTTTTTTCAATTACAAATAATAACACAAAGTATATATTTACAATATAGTATAAACAAAAACAAATAATTAATTTATAATAAATCAATGTTTTTCATCATTCGTTAATCAATTTTCGATTGCTATTAATTACAACATTTTTCAGGTTGAAATTTTATTGTATTTTGTAATCTATTTAATAAATTAAAAAATGAGCAGTTAGTTTATTATAAATATATCTATTTATTATATATATATATCTTAATAATAATATATGTTGAAATGAGTTATAATTATGAATCCTAAGAATAAATTTTTATAAATTGGTTTTCATTATTTAACTCTGAAAAAAATATTTTCAATAATCAATTTATGTAATCAAATAACAATAAAGAATAATAATAAAGTCATCCCATTTAATGTATTGATTCAAAATTATTTTTGTTTGTATTGCATTTATCAAAATTAATGTAATTGATTATTATAAATCACATATATATTAAGGAATTGATAAATTAATCTTTTAATCTTATAATTGAAAATTATTCACTTATTGTTTGAATTGGTGGCTAATTTCTTTAAATGCCAACAGAAAATGTAAATTATTGAAAGTACGAACTAAATAATGGTTGGAAAAACTAATATACATAAAAAATATTCTACATAAAATTTGTCTAGCTACTCTTATAAAATATACATATATTTAATATTTATCTAGAAAAGTATTTATTTTGTTTTACTTCGTTAGATTTTTGCTTATTTTACAAATAATATAAACGCAGTAGTCCTTTAAATATAATGATTGCGCAATAAATCGAAGATTTGTGATTATGTTAATAGTTGAGACACTATAACATTTGCATTATTTAAATTAATTTTTTTCTTTTCAATAATCAAATAAAGCGATGTATATTTTTATTTTAAAGAATACTGCAAGTGTGATATATCGAAAGTGTTGTTTCCTATTTTTTCAATTAAGTTCCATATTTTATTTCTCAAGTTATATTTTTCGGTTCTAATTTAATATACTTTATATTATTTAAAATACAATTATTATCACATTATGACAATTTAATAGAGTCTATGATATTTATAATACAATATGATGATATTAAATAAGTTTTATAGTGTATGAATAAATGTGAAATACAGATTTAGTGTTAATTTATAAAATTCATTATTAAAATTTTTTTAATGCCAAAGTATTAATAATAAGCAAAAAGCAAAAAAATTATTTATTTTTTAAGAAAATGAAAAACATTGAAATTACACGATTTATTGTAATTTAATCTTAAAATTAAGTATTAAAAAATCAATGGACAATCTGCATAAACAAAATGTAAAGTGACAATAGGCAATGGGATTTGTTTAACTGAAACTGAAACAAACCTTAAAGGGGAGGAGTAGGAGTTCATACGAGCCTTCCAACATAAGTTTGATTCGGTTTCTTAAGAAGGTCAAAGTGCAAAAGAGTAATAAAATTCGTGCTCCAGCTCCCAGTCACTTAATCCTCCCATAATTTTTACATGCTTAGTCCATTGACTTGAACGGACAGAGTAGCCAATTAAACGGTTACTATATGTCACGATGAAACGAAAAGATAGCAAGAGTAAGAAGGAAACAGATATATAACTTACTTAAAAGCAGAAATGAGTCATGATGGTAAAAAGTGAATTTAAAAGCCCAGCCGTTTATTTCCTAAATTCAATTTAATAATTTGTATGTCTGTTCTTGTAGTATGTGTACGCAGTATATGCTAAAGATTAAACCAATCAAAAGTGTAAAAATTATTATTTTCTGTATTTTTTTTAATAAATAATAATACTTTTGTACATACAAATTGTAATTTTTGCAATAGTGTATCGAAGTCAATATATATAAAGATAATTATGAGAAAAAAGATAAGATGTTTAATTGAATATAATTTTCAGTTTAGCAATTGTTTTAGTTTCATTTGTTATAACTGAAGAAAATATTATTGATTCGATAATAAAGTATTTAGTAATTTCATTTATAAATCAATGACGTAATATATTGACATAATTAATGCTAAATATTTACTTAGAAGAGCTTTCAAGGATATTAAAAAAAAAAACAACTGTGTTATTGAAAATGTATCAATTGGTATGTACATATTTTGAAAACCACTTACTCGTGTAAAACTCTTTTATATCATATTGATTATTTTTTGGCATTCGACAAGATCAATGAAGCAAAAATGCATTGGTCACATTTGTAAAGTTCGAATTTCAATAAATATTAAAAAAAAAATCAACTATATTCATATATGTGTGTGTGTGTGTGTGTGTGTGTGTGTGTGAATTTTGAATATTAAACAATGTTAATGCTTAATATAAATAACATTGTACTTTTGAATAATATACGATTAATAATAAGTAATAAGAATCATTATTTATAACTATATTACTAAAACGCATAAATTTCAGAAATATTTTTGTAAAAATATTTTTTATTTATTTTATTGTAATTCTTTTGCATTATATAAAACAAAAATTATTCTTTTAAAATGCTACTTTGATTTTACTTCTTAATTTACAGTTTTGTTTGTATTAAGCAATGATATTCGTGAACTTTTAAATGTGCAATAAGAATTTAACCATTTATTCTTCATAAAGTACAAATTTATGCGTGTATAAGTTGATAAAATTCAGTAAATAGCTATTTATTTTAAAAAACTTCAAAATCTATAATAGTTTTTAATTAATGTTTGAATAATGTCATATACAATTTTTTTTTATAATTTACCATGATATGGGAATGTTACAAATATTTAATTTTTATCATAAGTTCTATATGAATACACAATTTCTTATATATTTTTTTTTTTATCGTTATTATTTATCGCTACGTACGTACATGAAATATTAAGGTATAATTGAATATAAAATCATTTATAATAAAGTAAATAAATTTTTTAAATAATTGAATATCATTATTTAATCTAATTATATTTACAGTTAACAATATTCAAAATCAAAAGATTTCATTGCACGAAATGGTTTGTAAATAATTGCCGTTTCTTAGAAACATAATTACGATATTCTAATAAAGATTTATTTAAAGTAATTATAACTTTATCCAATTACTTTCTAAAGTAAAGACATTTAAAGGTTAAGATAATGTGTAATGTCATTATTTTATCATATTGCAAAGAAATAGAAAGTAGATGTCTAATATAGAAATTTGAATACAATATATATATATATATATATATATATATTTACTGTTTCATGGCAAATGATAATAAATGAATAGTTAAATTCTATTTCGTTAAGATTAATATTATCTACGGTGTCAAGTAAAGGCACGATTTTTATTAATTACGTAAATGCAATTATAAGTTGATTTGAATAATATGTAATATACTCGAGCAGATAATCGACTGTTGATCAATTTAAAATGAGAGGAGGTACTACTGATTCGACTTTTATTATTTTATGATTTTATCTTTTATTTTGTTTTTATTCAGGCTATATGATATACGTTCAACACTATTTTATATAAATTTTTTCTCAATTTTTTTAGATAAAAAAAAAAGTTTATTTTAACGATGCGTGACCAAAGTAAAAGTTAAGGCATATATATGTATTTTATTGGGACTAGCATTACAATCTAATACTTTCTATTAAATTTAAATTGATTTTATTAAATAAAGCACTGGAGCTTTTTCATTTTTCATTTTTCATCGTAATTTCCGCTCGATTACTTACTCGCTAAATTCTCAAAATTAGAAGATTTAAAAGTAATGGATGAAAGAAAACGTTTTAATCTTTATAGATTTCTAATATATCGCGATTGAGCGTAGCTGATTAATTAATTGTCTCAAGCAAAATAACACATCGATCAGCGCGTTAACGCTGGAATCTCAATACAGGGAGAAGTAATGACAATTGCGGGTGCTGGATCGTGAGTTCATAATATAAATAGTATGAGAACGCATGTCCATTATGTTGAGATGACAATAATAATTCACCGTTCGGCTTTCACGTCGCAAATTAATATATTATTACGATCGCGCGTCGGTTACGCATCCTCCATCGTTGAGATTACCTCGACGCGACTGTTGCCATTAATGATAAATAGTATTTTCCGCAAGTGGATGCTCTCTCTAGCCTTGTTTAACCCACGGAGCAACCCACGGAGCTGACGTTCGGGCTCTTCGCGAAATTTAATAAGAGAGAGGATCGTCGTAAGGGTATCTATCGCGCAGAAGATGTGGCGCTATTTGAAACAGTAGCTCGATCGAAGGAGTTGAAAAGAGGGCCGACAAGAGGCTCGTAAGTCAGGAATGCGAGATCGGGCTGTCGGTAGTGTGTGAGCAGCAGCGGGGCATCACCGCGTTTGCACTCCCGTATTATACTTACTTCCAAGTGGCCTATGATGTCACAGCCGTTCGAGCGAGTGAGCGATCGAAGAAGCGAGAACGCAACCATACCTAGGCCGTACTACGGAGAACGCTGCTCTGCGAT